TTGACCGAGCCCCGTAGTGAGGCGTTTTCAGCAGCGAGTGTTTCCACCTGTTGCTGGCTGAATTCCAAAGACTCCCTCAGGGATGTGAACTCCTGATGCAAAATCTCGACCAGAGACAACCTCGCGTCGAAGCTGGACAATCGCTTGTCGATTGACTCCAGTATGTCGGCGAAGTCTTTACTAGTCGGCGAAGTTGCTCCGGGGGAGTCTGCCGGGCGACTTCTTTTGGATGACGGCGTCTCGCTTTTTCCCGGGGAAGATGTATTGAGGTTCTTCTTCATGACTGTAGTGTCGAAGTACCAGTCAATGTATTCTTCGAGTGATTCCAACTTCCCCTCGCTGTCCTCGCTCAGCTCGCTGTTCATTCAGATTTTCCGCCAAGTCTCCGGCGTCTGACGTCACTTACAGCATTTCCGGTAGCGGCTGTGAATTATTCCCCAATTAATGTATGACTGTGTTTTTGAAGCCCAATTAAATCAATTAATAAAGTTTCACAAGTGATCAGAAGTTGCTGCTACAGCCCTCGATCTGGGGAGAGGTAATTCTGTTTTACTCTAGTACTTACAGTAGCCTGAATTTCCAATAAAACAGTATTGCTTGCATGGCGATGCTTTGTGGAGAATGGCCAGCAGGTCCTCCAGGTGCCCATTCAGGCTAACAGTGTGGGTGCAGTGAGCAGATCCCTGCCATTGGCTACTGCAGAGAGCAAAGCCTGAGCCCCTGGATGAGGTCACTGAGTCCCTGCAAACCACACTGCAAATATAAATATCCGCCTGCACCCCAGACACACATTTAGCTGCTGAACACTTTGGCTCACACTCTCATTTATTAACGTTTGTTGACTTTAATGAGCTGCTTTCTGCAACAAAGCCGGAGCAAAGACTTTTGGTTAACAAAATAAACTGCATCTCGAGGCACATAAACCACTGCTAACAACTTCTGGTACTAGTTAAGCAGTCCGATCAATCACTGTCTCACCTTAATAAGTGACAGCCAGGACAATGAGGCCATTCAACAGGAAATCCAGAACAGAAACAAAAAAAGAGTAAGAGACTCATTCTGAAATCTTCAGTGACAAAAAGTGTTTCTCAATCTCAAGAATGCAAAGATCGTACAAGCGTTCGTGACGAGCATTCTTGCTAACTCGCCTCCCTAGAACGATCTTGAGATGTAATGAATCATGGGAGCCAACTGATGAATCCTTGATATTTGGGGTGGAACAAGAACGACATCCGGGGATTTTTACTGTCTTCTGTAATCCTGTTCTTGGGTATTGGAACTGGTCTTCAACAATGGAAGATGATGTAAAACAGGCACACGAGTAAAACAGGCACACGAGTAAACCATGCACACGAGTAAACCATGCACACGAGTAAACCAGGCACACGAGTAAAACAGGCACACGAGTAAACCAGGCACACGAGTAAAACATGCACACGAGTAAACCATGCACACGAGTAAACCAGGCACACGAGTAAACCAGGCACACGAGTAAACCAGGTACATGAGTAAAACAGGTACACAAGTGCGCATATTAAAATAATACCCAAATATTTTCTGCTATTCCCCCATATTTAGCCCAATGTCCGCCCTCCTTCTTCCTGTACAGGGTGGTGGGGAGGGTGGGGCCTCCCCCAGGACAGACCCCCTGTCTGTCTCTTCTTCACAGGCCTACGCACTCAGGACTGGCCTTGGGCTCATACACACAGACCCATGGTCTGGGCTACGGCACCGATCTGCACTGTGCTGAGGCTGCAGGTCAGCGTGGCCCCGCCCTCTGTTGAGGCTGCAGGTCAGCGTGGCCCCGCCCACTTTTCAGCAGCACACTTATATTTGCATTCTACTTATCTTACAGCACAGCCTTCCCCCAGCCAGGGCAGAAACTCCTCCCTGCTTCCAGGTGTCCTCACAGCGCAATGTCTGCTGTTCATTTGGTATAGTGATCAGTCACGTATAAGAGTGCCTGCTGGACCAAACGACGGGTGCTAAATGTTAGCACGGATATTCCCCGCTGTGTGCTGATATTCCTTCCTTGTTTCTGACCTTTGCCTGGTTCATTCTCTTCCCTGAACCAAGAGGTCAGGTTAACCCCCCTGGGTAAAAGGCTGCTGGAACAGCACACGGGGTTGGAATTTGGGGGAGGGGGGGGGGCTGGGGCGTCGGCACGTTACCCCCCCCAATGTGCGAGCTCAGGCCCTTTCTCTGTTCCCCAGCTTACTGCCGGATTTGCGCCTCACAATGGGGGGCCGTGCTGTCTGAGCGTGACCCCGCTGTGCCCTGGGCCTGTGCCCTCCAGCTGACCCCCCCCCCTGGCTGATTCTGCCACACACTCAGGCACCCCCACGGCAAGATGGCATTCTCCATTCAGTCAGTTTCTGTCGATCACCCGGCTCAGAGCCTGGCATATTTGGGGAGTGCCAAGGCCCACTCAGAGTGAGTAACAGGGAATCACTGCGCCCACTTACAGTTTCATTAGGGAGGAAACACCTTTGCCATTTAACAGCCTCGTATTCTATAAAGCTCAGCTCCCCTAATGCTGCGTTGTTAATGAGATTTATCTGCCCCGTCGCCATCCACGGATGGGCATTCCAGAAAGGTTTGGAGGGAGACGTCACACTGACATCACACTGTGCACACTGTGTACTGTCATGCACACTGCATATTGTGCCCATAATCCCATGAGTACTGTTTACACTCAGCTCATACTGTCTAAATTGTCGGTACATGTCTCAGGTCTTTTACACATTGTGCTTATATTGCACAGCACATCAACATCACTGTGACCGTGTCACTTATGTATAGATTATATACAGCTGAATATATCTCATATTGTCAGGGTCAGCCCCTGGCCCACTCTGTGACCCTTCCCCATTTGGCCAGCAGGTGTCGCTGGTCATCCTGTCCCTCGTGTTGTCAGTCTTTGTGTTTTCCCCTGCTCTCTGTTAGCTGCATGGCTCAACTCACTGATCCTGTGGTTGTCTGTGATCCCCTCTGTCATGTGTTTGAATCCTGCCTCCTCTGTTTTTGTGTTTCATTTGTATGAGTTTTTCTAGTTCCTGTGTCTGGTGATTTTTGTATTTGTCCAGTTTTGGTTTTTTGTTTGGAGCCTTAGTTGTGTTTTATTGGTTTTTGTTATTCCCAGTGTTAGATTCTGTTTTCCTTGTTTCTTGGTTAGTTCTTAGTTTTAGTTCCTTGAGTTAATTATTAGTTTCACCTGTGACCTGTTTTCCCAACCCACACCTGCCCCTTGTTAGTCTAGTTACCCCTCTGTATTTAAGTCTCTGCCTCTGTTTAGTTTGCTAGTGGTTCATTGAGTGTTAGATGTCTGCAAAGTTTGTATGTTGCTAGAATATGATGTATGTTAGTTGTGTTTAGTTCTTTTCCTGTCTACCAACCTGCTTCTGGTCCCTAATCCTTTGTTTTCTGCCATTAGTTATCCTTTTATTTTTTTTGACCCCTCAAGGTCTGTTTTTGTTTTGTAGTGTTTTCACCAGACAGGGTGACTCCCCATAACCCCCAACCTTCCCAATCACAAATATCTGTTAAGGCGTTAATGTGATTTAATCGTTAATCTTTTAACATGAGTGTACGTTGTTCCACTGAAAAGCCCATGTGAATTTTCTCTGTGGTTGATGCATTTCAGGATTTCTTCACGTCACGTGTGCTGTTGCCCAGGAGAACATAAGAACATAAGAAATTAACAAACGAGAGGAGGCCATTCGGCCCATCAAGCGCATTTGGGGAGAACTTAACTAATAGCTCAGAGTTGTTAAACTCTTATCTAGCTCTGATTTAAAGGAACCCGGGGTTTTAGCTTCCACTACACTAGCAGGAAGACTATTCCATACTCTAACTACACGCTGTGTAAAGAAGTGCTTCCTCAAGTTTGTTTTAAAATGTTCTCCCGTTAATTTCCACTTATGGTCATGAGTTCTAGTATTTAAACTAATACTGAAATAGCCATTTGGCTGATCCAGACCCGTTAGAATCTTATAGACCTGGATCATGTCCCCCCTTAGTCTCCTTTGCTCAAGGCTAAACAGATTCAGCTCAGCTAACCTCTCCTCATAAGACATTCCTCTAAGACCAGGAATCATTCTTGTAGCCCTCCGTTGCACCTTTTCTAAGGCAGCAATGTCCTTCTTAAGGTATGGTGACCAAACCTGCACACAATATTCTAGGTAGAATCTTACCAAGGAATTATATAAATGTAACATCACCTCCCTTGACTTAAACTCCACATACCTAGAGATGTAACCCAACATCCTATTGGCCTTTTTTATTTCTTCCCCACACTGGCGAGAGTGGGACATGGAAGCATCAACATACACACCGAGGTCTTTCTCATAATTGACTACCTTTATTTCAGTGGAACCCATAAAATATCTGTACTTTATATTTCTGCTCCCTGCATGGATTACCTTACATTTATCTGTGTTAAATTTCATCTGCCATGTATCAGCCCATTCGCTAATTAAATCAAGATCCTGTTGTAGCCTCTCAGCTGCTAGATCAGTATCTGCTACACCACCCACCTTGGTGTCGTCTGCAAATTTATTGGTGTCAATATCATTAATGTAAATTAGGAACAATAGTGGTCCTAAAATTGAACCCTGCGCTTAATACTCTTCACTCTTAATCTGGCCCTGGGGGGATAAAAGGTGATGGTAAAAGTTCTCTCTCTTATGGGGGGGGTCCCGGAAGAATACCACAAAATCAGTAATGATTGGTTGTGTACATTTGGTCTCACTGTTGGGTGGCACCCGTAGCCACACCCCCTGACTGGTGTACCCTTAGATCCAGGGTGAGGTACCTTGCGTAACCCTGAGGGGAGACCTTGGCCGCATATTTCCCCTCCCCCCCATCCCAGGGAGGCGGGGCCCCACCTCACGCAGTTCCTGCAGCAGTGCGCTGAGCCGCTCGCCCTCAGCCTGCACGTTGGACGCCACGGCGCGGTTCTGCTGCAGCTCTGCCTGCAGCTCCAGCAGCCTGTTCGTGTAGTACGCCTCCTTGGAGGCCGACTCCTGCAGGAGGTGCTCCTCGTTAGTCTCGCCATCCGCCGCCACCTTGCGCTGGGTGGAGTACGCCTGCCCGAACGCCTGGTAAAAGGGAGAAAGGAGGAGGAGCCCGGGTGAAGAGGGGCTGACTGATAGGCTGACCACACCCACATGACTCACTCTTACATCGAAAACTAACCAATCAGAACATTCTTAAAAAGTAAACAGTTGTGAAATGCATTTCCCAGAAGCCCTCACTAATGATATGTTCCCGCCAACGCTGCAACAGGTGCCGTGTCACATGACATGGAGTTTCACGCTATTCCGCTGCTACATTCACAGCACGACCGGAGCCCTTCCCGACCTCGCCCGCCACGCTCCCTCCAGACTGATGAGTGGTGCAGGGCTGGACAAAGGCCAAGAGGCTGGTCGCCAGAGTCAGGCTGATCCTGGAGCTGCTGCCACTTTCAGTGTTGGCGGCTGTTTCGAATGACATAACCAGTACTTATGGCAGCAAATACAAGCACAAGGGCCATGCTTATCAGTCATCCATCCATCCATCCATCCATCCTCCAACCACTCATCCAGGAGAGGGTCATGGTGAACTTGGATCCCAGGAAGCAGTGGATACATGGCCCAGACACTCAAGGCACACCTTCACGCACACAATGGGGAATACAGTGATGCGTATCCCCTTAGCCGCATGCTGCTGACTGTAGTATACCAGCAGAACATGAACTCACAGCCGGTGAAAGGAATGGAACCCACAACCCGAGCTACCACAATGCCATCCATCCAACCATAAATTTTCCATACCCGCTTGTCCTATGCAGGGTTGCAGGGGTACAGGGCCTATTCCAGAAGCTATGGGTGTAATGTAGGGAGTAACCCAGGATGGGGCACCAACCAATCACAGCCATCTATTATCATAAATGCAGATGAATTTACGATAAAGTGACTCCACCGTGAAGCCCTCACTAATGATATGTTCCGGGAGTCAGAGGCGAGCCGGACATTCACACGGAATGTTTACTCAAGCTAACACAGGTACCCGATTAAGGGCTCCCAGCTCGCCTCTGACTCCCGGCTCGCCTCTGACTCCCGGCTCGCCTCTGACTGCCGGCTCGCCTCTGACTCACGGCTCGCCTCTGACTCCCGGCTCGCCTCTGACTCCCGGCTCGCCTCTGACTCCCGGTTCGCCTCTGATTCCCGGCAGGGTCACCTAGCAGCTCACTGGTTCTCCATCAGTATGAGAGTTGAACGGGAAGCTGGAGAGGCTTTCCCAAGGAAAAGCTGATTGCAGACTTTCAGAGAGAGGAAGGGGAGGAAGAGGAGGAGGAAGATACCATGGCTGACGCTGAAGCTTTCTTCCCAAGTGGGAATGACCACATTCTGACAGGATGATCAGGTCGGGGCGCCCCCAGTGGCTGCTGGACCTTTATCTACCGCTTAGTTCAGCCTTGGGCTGGTCCTGAGGATGATACTCTACAACCAGGCTTCTCAAAAAAGTGCTTTGGGTAAAAGAAGGCCTCAGCCAACAGACACCCATCAAGGGAAATTAAATAAAATGTATATCAGCATGACCCAAGGACAGGCGGAAAGGCTACACCAAAGGCTGCAGGAAAGGGGATGATGAGCATGGACCTAAAGCAATTCAGGCACGTAAACAAGCCACCAGCACTGAATCATTCCACTGTGCAGCCTGAAATACACACAGCAGAGCTTAAAGTCCTCATAAGCTGTACTATAATCATCTATCCTGACCGTCACTGGAAAGTAGTCATATTGCAGAGGGATGATGGTTAGGAGGGGTCATGGCACCTGGGGGCCACAAAGTGCCTCTTATACAGCCATGGGTGTGGCCATTTATATACCCATAATTCTTCACTCGGTGCTACAGTTCAGTCAATTTGCAATTTGTGTCATTTTTACAGCTGGGGGTAACAGGAGAGTCAGTGTCCCCCTATCACACCACCAGGGATGTCTGCTGTGATGCAAGAGGCCCGTGCTGGTTTTGCAGTTTTTATAAATGCATCTCGCATTGGCTGCACGAGTGTAAAATCCACAGCGCTGCTCAGGACCCCGGCCACGAGCTAATGAGCAGCCAAGGCACTTTTCTCCTACAGAGGCAATTCATCAGTGTTCATTTGCCTGCTGTTTGAGACAGAAACTAACTCGATACAGGGAGAAAAATGAGCCTTAGCCAAGAAATGCTGGCTTGTCAGTGGAAGAGAGGGCTGTGGGGATATCCCCATGGGGAGGGGACTAAGGGGACAGTAGTCTGAAGGGGACTGTGGGGAGGGCACTCCAGAGAGCGCTATGGGAAAAGTCCTCTGAAGGGGACTGTGGGGAGAGCACTCCGGAGGGCACTACGGGAAGGACAGTCTGAAAGGGACTGTGGGAAGGGTACTCCAGAGAGCACTACGGGAAGGGTACTCTGAAGTGGACTGTGGGGAGGGTACTCTGGAGGACACTACGGGAAGGGTTCTTTGAAGGGGACTGTGGGGAGGGTACTCTGGAGGACACTACGGGAAGGGTTCTCTGAAGGGGACTGTTGGGAGGGTACTCTGGAGGACACTACGGGAAGGGTTCTCTGAAGGGGACTGTTGGGAGGGTACTCTGGAGGGCACTATGGGAAGGGTTCTCTGAAGGGGACTGTGGGGAGGGTCACTATGGGAAGGGTTCTCTGAAGGGGACTGTGGGGAGGGTCACTATGGGAAGGGTTCTCTGAAGGGGACTGTTGGGAGGGTCACTATGGGAAGGGTCCTCTGAAGGGGACTCTGGGGAGAGTACTCTGGAGCGTCACGTTCAGTATAAAATATTAAGAGGTTAAATATTAACCTCACACGGCGATGTGCTGCAAAGAGCACATGCCAGTCACTTTTATAAATTCTTATCCATGTCTTGGATCGGAGATTAAAACTGCCGGTCAAAGGTAACATGAGGCCGGTAGAAGTTTGAGTAATCTGTCTCTAATCTGTGAGTCTTGCTTGCTACAACATGAATCTTATTAAAGTCATTTGCATGGACCCCATCGCCCCAATGAGTGTTTTTAACATAGTCATTGCAGTTCATTTATTTCAAAATGAGCCAAACAAGGGTCATATTCCGTCAAAGCTTAGCTAGTCCAGCAAGACATCAACTTCTGTTCTTTGTCTCCCCTCCTCCCCCTCCCCCCAGGAAAACAGACCGTAGTTCCTAGGTGTTTGGTTTGAAGTTCCTGCAACCACCTGCTTCTTCTTATTCAAATAAGGGACCCCACAGCTGAGGACGAGCACAGAATTTGACCTGAATTTCATTTCCAGACTTAAACTCTGTGTTGGTGGGACTAATAAGCTCTATAGATAATCGGCAGTTGACCCACAGCTGCACAGTTCAGGTCACCTGATGAAAGTGATTCTGTTTAAGGTGATCTACACCCGTCTGGTCACCAGGCATCCACCCCTTCATCCAGATGCAAGAGCCGCACTACTTCATTACCCGGAGTGCCCCACTACTGTAAAATCCATTAATTAGATAAATTTTCAGCGTTAGTGAGCATATTCCTTGCAATCAGCTATGATAGAAATGACCACTGGGATGGTCCCCCTGGGTCCCTGTTGAACATGGAGGCATGACGAGGGAAACAGCCAAACTCAAAATGATACTGGAACTGTAGTTAATCTCTGTCCTGTTCCCATTGCCTAATCCCATTACTTGTTAAAAATAACAGCTAATTCCTCTCATCACTCTAATACGAAATGAGGCCGCATTCAGTTTCAGGGTTAGTATTTTGGTTTTTAGGGACAAATAAGAAACGTTTAAAGATCTCAAGGTCAGCTATTATCACTATTATTAATGAACTGTCACACAGCATCCAATGTATTGTGTCTGACCCAATGAGATGGTAAAATGACTCATTTCTAGAACAATCTCCACGACTAAAGGCCTTTGTGTGTTCTATGTAGCTGGAATCTCGTGTAGCAACCCGGAATGTGGCAATGAGGTAAAATGTCACTTGTTATTCACATATGAGACTAAGCTTTAAATGAAGTAAAATGGCTTCTAAATGTGGCCCCAGTGCTGTGATCTCAATGGTGTGTTTGAGGCATGGTGTGGAGGTCGTGGATGTGGTGAAGCGTCAGCTAGCTCAGGAAATGTGGAACCACACTGGGAATTTCAGCAGCATGGAGAAGGTGAAGCATGGATGGAGAGCCTCCCATCACGTTGAACCATGCCAGGAACGATGGCTTGCAGCTACATGCACACAGTTGCTTAAGTCTGGTAGATATTCTGACCCAGGCAGCAAGAGCCAGGAAATTTTGACATATCAGAAAGTCCAGTAACAAAAACCTGATGGTTGGCGAGTTTATGAAGTGGGCTGTGATGTAAGGAGAGGGGAGACCTGCGAGATCACAGATCGTGACGTATCATCACATCAGCGGGGAAGGGGGCGGAGATCAGCTGCCGTGGCCTCAGCAGCCACAGCATCGATGTGGGCGGGAAAGGCAAAGAACCTCCTGTACCAGACAGAAAGCGCAAGCACAGTGAAATATACAGCCTTTTCAGGGATTTGGTGACACCTTAAGTCACGGGGGGTCCCTTTTGAGTTTGCTGAGAGGAGTTTGTTAGAAAAATCACAAAATCACCTGCAAAAAGTGCTATAAATAAACTAATGTGTTTAATATAAGTTACAGTGTGCTGCAAAGCACGAAAGATCCGGCCTCAAGGGTCCTGGTTCAGGCATGTGTGTCTCAGAAAGATGCCAGTAACTGACAGTGTGCCTGACATGTGAGGTTCAGCAAGGGGTTGTGAGCTACACATCTCAGCTGGTAAAAGCAGTACAGATGCACGTACGCGGACGGACGGCCTTCTGAGCGGTACAGACGCACGTACGCGCACGGACGGCCTTCTGAGCAGTACAGACGCACGTACGCGCACGGACAGCCTTCTGAGCAGTACAGACGCACGTACGCGCACGGACGCCCTTCTGAGCAGTACAGACGCACGTACGCGCACGGACGCCCTTCTGAGCAGTACAGACTCACGTACGCGCACGGACGCCCTTCTGAGCAGTACAGACGCACGGACGCCCTTCTGAGCAGTACAGACGCACGTACGTG